CATTGTTTTTCTTGGTTTTTGCTAACAATCTTATAACATTCATTAGCAATAACACTTCGGCATTCGTTACCAGTTACGCAGATGACACTAATGTCTTGATAATAGAAGACAATATGGAGATGTTGAAGATCACCACAGCGGATATATATAGGAAAATAATTTTGTGGTCTGAAAATAATAATTTGAAACTCAACAAAGGCAAAACAAATTTCATATTATTTTCTACTCGTAATATGAACAACATTGACATTTCTCTGAATGATAATGATGAAATGATAAGTCCATCTGAAACAGTAAATATGCTGGGAATTGTTCTGGATCAAAAACTATCTTGGCATCCTCATATCGAAGCACTTTGTGCTAAATTGAAAAAGTGTTGCTTCTCGATTAGATTCATGTCAAATCATTGTAGTGTCAATATATTGAAAACATTGTATCACGCCAATTTTCATTCCCACATTCGCTATGGCATTCTGAATTGGGGTACTAGTGCATCCGTGCAAAGGGTATTCCTACTTCAAAAATATGTTGTAAGAATAATTGCTCAGCTATCATGCAGAAATGCATTCAAAGAACTAAGTATTCTGACAGTCGCCAGCACATATATATTGGAAGCTTGTGCATATGTATTCAAACATTAATGTATCTTTCAACCATATCGTCATGATCACAATACTCGTTCCAGAGGTCTTTTAATGTCAAAGGCTCATAGAACAGCATTATATGAAAAAAGTGTAGATTATAATGGCTGTAAATTCTACAACATTCTTCCCACAGATATCAAGGATTCCCTCAATGTGCATATTTTTAAATGTAGGTTGAAGAAACTGTTGCTTCAAAGAAATTGTTACACCTTTCAAGAGTTCATAGACTATGGGTGACTTATCATCATACAATAATATGATGGTCAATTTCAATTAATTGTATTTCTATTTATTTACTTGTTGTTTGTGAGTTTATATATTTTTGTGTTTTATGATGTGTATATGTATATATACGGTTTTATTGACGTTTTCTCTTATTATTGTACATTGTTACATTCTTGCATCAACTGTACTTTTCAATTTGAGAAATATATATTATTATTATTATTATTATTATTATTGCGTATACAGGGTGTCCAAGATAAGGATGTCTTCGTACCATTTGATTGACAAAATTGACAAGAATTCTAGCAAACAATTCATTAGGAGAAATCAATGTTTTTCGTTTGAGTTTCGTGATTCGTAAACCCTCATTTACTGACGCTACCGTGTACATTTTTGGCAACTATTTCAACTAATAATCCAAGGTAGTGACAAGTAGAACAAATATATTCCAAATTGAAAGTATTTTCATTGTAGGCAAATTGAGATATTTTGTACTGAGCTATTGCGCCCTTGTGATGCATTTCAATACCCTGCAGTTTGTTACGGTTGCTTATTTGGGTTGGGACGCATATACCTGATTTGTATCTGATTTCTGCAGATTTGCCATACTAGAGATATAAATGTCCATATGAATAGTTGAGTATTTTTGTTTTGATCAGGAAAGCCTTCAAGTCACCTTCTTGCTCGTTCATTCGTTGCACTCGAGATTTGATGGAGGATAACTTCTTTTCAAATGTTCTGGGCCAGCGGAATACCTTTTTTGCCTCACATCACGATATTGTTCAACTTCACTGGAATATGGAGAAAAATATATAATCGCTGTTATTGTTGATACGCAATATTTTGATTTATCTGTCAGTATCACGTGCTACGTGGTACTGGTTCGGTATTTGCTATTAGGGCTGTCTTCTGGTCCGAATTGATTCATCGATATGACGCTTATAGAATTAATACCAAGATAGGTGGCTGTGTGGTTGTGAATGACGTCAAATTTAAAAGTATTTTGCTGGTTAGTGACCATCGTTGAAGAACTTTATTTTTACTCATAGAATTGGTCGATTGAGATATTAGGAATCCAATTTTAAATCTTCTTATTACATATCATCTATTGGTTCGTTCAGTTGATGTTTCAAGATTATTGGGACACAGAGTTCAAGGAACGCCTTGAAGGCAGCTATCCTTTCTCGGGCCTCTCTCTCTTAGTTAACATGATTACATATGGCTTGAATCCCCTTTCTCGATCGATGCAGAATTATGGAACGTAAGACACTTGTTTTCTGACAAAAACTCAGCAGCAGGTAACAGCTGGATGATGTTATTCAAAGCCTCCACCTTCCGTGAGGTAAGCGGCCCGAGCGCCATTTTGTAGTAATGAAAGTGTTGCTCATATCCAAAATTTCATTTCAGGCTTCTACCAATTAGTTTGGGATAAACCCTTTTTTCTTATGACGATGCCAAGTTGGGATTGTCTCCTTTTATTTTGGTTCCTGATGTTGATTCACTTTGATAGATTTGGTTCCTAATGTATTAATTGACCTAAAGGATCAACCATAACTGATTTTGAATTCTCACTTATTACTGGGGGTCTGATGTTTAACCAGACAGATGGTTGCTGGTTATATGGATTAATAAGGCAGCCAGGGCTGAAGGAGGATAGTACTTAACCATCAAGTTGAATAATAATAATCAGGTTGTAACGTTACATGATATCATTATACATTGTGAAACTTTGAGTATGGCCATACCCAAGGGGGTTTATTCGCTATCATTACCTGTCCTGTTATGATACTCAACTTATAGTCATGATATCCGTCTGTAGCCAGCAGTCGCACTGAAGTTTGAAATATTTTGTTGTACCATGTTTGTTTTGCTGAATCAGAAGTAAATCAGAGGTGGACCAGAATTGAACAGTATCTTTATCAATATTTGAAATACAGCACCAAGGGTGTCTCTCGAATGAGGCTTTCTGCCTACTAGATTCACTGATTTTAATGCACAGAAGTAACTGGGTATTAGGGAATTTAGGTATTATCAACGATGGGCAATATGGCTCCTGTAATCAGAGATCAACTGGTGCCCTGCTCATTTACGTCTCACATATAGCAATCTATCGAAAAATTTGGTGAAACTCATCCGTGGTACTTGATATCTCCAACGCATTCGATCGAGTCTGGCACCACGGACTCCTCGCCAAGTTTCCATCTTATGGCTTGCTTCCCCAGCTATGTTTTCTGCTAGTTAGTTTCCTCTCAAACAGGTCTCTCCATGTAGTGGTCGATGGAGTTTCATCTGACTCTCTTATCATGAATGCTGGTGTTCCACAAGCATCAATTCTAGCTCCAACACTATTTCTACTCCATATCAACGATTTGTTGGAAGCAACTTCATGTCCAGTACACAGCTTTGCGGATGATAGTACCCTCCATATCGGCTTCTCTTCCAGGGCTCCAATACCAGCCAGGCAAATGAGAAACGAACGAGGAAGAAATGTTGACAAATTAAATGGACTTGGCAACAATTCTCGAGTGGGGATCCGATAACTGGGTTGATTCCAATGCAAACAGAACACGAGCATGCCTTTTCTCTAGAAAAGCCGATCTCACTGTGCCCAACATGAGCTTGTCAGGGGTAACCCTACCTTTGAAGACATCCATCTCAATGCTTGGTATTACATCAGCAATAACCTTTCTTGGGAAAATCACGTGAGATCAATTGCAAAAAGTGCATTACAAAAACTTGGTTTTCTGTTTCGAGCCAGGAGCTATTTCACTTCCAGTCAGCTGCTTATGATCTATAAGGCACATATCTGACCTGTCCTGGAATACTGTTTCCATATCTGGGGTGCAGCACTTAAACATACCTTGAAACTGTTGGATTCTGTCCAAAAAAGGGCAATTCGTCACGTTGGTGATGACTCGCTCACAAACTCACGCCCTTCTCTGGAACACCATAGAAAAGTTGGCGATCTGACTCTATTTTACAGATATTTTCATGGACGATGCTCTTCTAAAATATCAACAATTGTTCCTCACTTGGCAGTCACTGAGAGATTAACCCGTCGAGGATCACAGAACTGCAGAACATCTCTTCCCAAAGACTCGTTCATCCAACGAACAGCGAGACTCTGGAACACGTTGCCAAGAAAGGTGTCTCCCGAGGCATATAACTTCTAGAAAATTTGAGAAGAACACCAATTTCTACCTTATTCCCCTTGGTTCACACGATGTTCACTGAACATTACAGGATATCCCTCTTCATGGGAACCAGAAGATAAAAAATATAAAAAAAAACTACTCCTGATGATGAAGATTCACATCATGAATTGAATAAAGGTTATACTTTTTTGTTCGAATTTCGATTACCACTTATAAAGGAATCTGCTGACATTTTAGATTACTTTTACCACTTTAGGTTCCCAGAAATCTCTATATAAGGTTATGCTGGAGCAGGATGAAGTGGGTGGCGCTTTATTAATTTGAAATCTGATTTTTTTTCCCCGACCCATCTTCACTGAGTTATGAAAGCATCCCTAGCAACAACCATAGACAACAGGGTCTCATTTTCAACCTCAATTATTGTAAGACCTGAAATTAAGGGATATTTATTTGCCATTATCAATCCTCTGAAGAAATGAGGTAGCAACTTTCGATAAAAAACTCTGTGTGGGGGTATCTATATATATTTAATAGATATGTCTTCCATATTTCTCGGAGATCTTCAACTCACTTAATTTTTCTGAAAACAAAATTAATCATCCTGATACTGAGAAGCTAGTCATTTCACTATTGAATTAAGAGCAAATTATATTGATATGTGTTCAATCTTATTTTCGAAATTATGGGTCTTGGGTATAGGAATGTTGATTAGAACATAAGAACTAGGGCTCAATTTCATGACATAATAATCGAATCATAGTGATATTAAGGAGGGAATCGGTTTCCGAAGTATTTCGATCTTGAACGTTCCACATTGACTTCCTGGGCCCACATTTATGCGCACCTTGTGAATTATTCAGTGGTTGTAATTATGGAGAGTGATCAGTTCAACTTTCAATATCCATAATTCGATCACTATCGGGGGTAATTGGTTCCTATTCAGAACAACATGAAAATAATATAATTTTTATTCTAGGAACTATCTCGGCTGTTTCGGATGGCATGCAATACGGCTGGACAGCTCCAACCATCCCCATCCTCCTCGCAGAAGACTCGCCCCTACGAATCACAACATCCCAAGCAGAATGGCTAGAATCCATCCTGATGATCGGCGCTTGCTGCGGTCTACCCCTCACCATGTACCTCGTGGACAAAATAGGGAGAAAGAAGTCGATGATAACCTCTTCCATAACCACCCTTCTAGCATGGACCGTCATGGCGTTCACTCCAAGGATAGAATACATCTATGTAGCTAGATTTTGTGCGGGTATGGCAGGAGATATGGCTTTCGTTGCAGCACCGATGTATATAGCAGAAATAGCCGATCAGAAGATACGCGGCTTCTTGTCAAGCCTGATATACGTGATGATGCTCACTGGTATACTGCTTCTCTACTGTATAGCTCCGTTCGTCCCCCTTTGGACGCCTTGTGTGATGGCTATATCTATGAATTTAATAGGACTAGCTATCTACCCTTTTCAGCCCGACTCACCCTACTATCTTCTCTACAAGAACGAACCAGAACAAGCTAAATCAGCCTTGAGGAAGCTCAGGAGAAAGGAAAATGTCGACGTAGAGTTCAAAGACATAGCTGCGGCTATAGAACGTCAGAAGAGCGAGAAAGGTCGGTTCCAAGACCTTCTTATGGTTCCAAGCAATCGCAAAGCGTTTATTATAATGGTGTGGCTGAACAGTTCCCAGCACATGAGCAGTATCAGCGTTATGTTGATGAACCTGCATTCCATACTAGATGAAGCAGGGTCTTTTTATTTTGCTGCTTCCACTGGAGCTATCATCTTCTCGGCAACCATGTTTTGTGCTGCAATGTCTGCGTCACTGGCCATCGATAATTTTGGAAGGAAGGTTTTGCTGTGTGTCTCAGGAACCATTGCCGGTTCATGTTTGTTGGTTATTGCGTTATACTTCTCCTTCAAGAATAACGGAGTAGATGTCGTTAGATTCAGCTGGGTGCCTCTACTCATGGTTATGCTTTATGCTGCTTCGTTCAAATTCGGGATTGGTTTAGTGCCAGTGGTTCTTACAGCTGAGCTCTTTCCTGCCAAGTTGAAGGCTATCGGGATGACTCTATCTGACTTGTTTTATGTCGGCTTTTCTGTGATAACTCTGCAGTTGTATCATGCTCTGAGACATGCGTTCGGGATCCAAGTGCCATTTTATATTTTTGCTGCGTCTTGTTTTTGTACTGTGATTTTCACAGTGTTCTACATTCCAGAAACAAAGGGAAAAACATTGGAGGAAATCCAGATGATCCTCAAGGAAATGAGAATGGAGGAGCCGAAAGACAAAGGAGCATACAAAAATGAGGCCTTCATTGCATGATATTCAGATTCGGATGGTTTATTATTGATATTCATTCATCATCCATTGCCTCTACTTCTTCCTGGATATGGTTTCGACTGCCTTCATAATCTCAATATTATATGATGAATAAGTTTTGGCCAAAGTGGATTCAGATATATTATGCATGAATATTTATATATCTGACCTATAACTGCTCATTATTTTCAGGCTATACAGGGTAATAGGAAAATACTTAGTCAAAACAAAAAACTAGAAAGTCGAGGGCAATGTTTTGAAATGGAATGCCAATCAAGTAATCAAGCGTTTCAGTGACCTCTTTCTGATTTTTCAATGATACTGATTAATGATTATGATGTCCAGATGCATACCAAAAACGTCATTATCATCACGACTTTGGAATTCGAAACAAAATAATTATACATAATGTGATTTGTTAGAAAAATAGTATGATTTTCCATTCTCTATTCCTAAAATTATACAGGGAGGCTGAGATAATTAACTGTCATGAAACATTCCGTATATTTTTCTCGATCATGTGATGTACCATCAGGAAAGATATCTTTTGTAATTACAATTGTACACCCCTATTATTATTTTCTTACCTCTTCAAGTGATTGAAGTCTAAAAATTTCAAGTTGCTTATATTCACTGACACACTATAGTGCAAAAAATAGGATGTGTCCTTCTGTGACGTCATTTAGTCTTCTCATTTTTTTTGTCAATGTGATAGTGAAAGCAGTCGTAATAGTAGATTGTTTCATTAGCAAATTTTGCTTCCATTCGGCTTTGCTATTGCTTCGTCTCGCAAAGGCAAAATTCGATTGTGAAACAAAATGTCACTTTAGATCTAATGAAAAATGTTATTTCATCTGCAACTGAAAGAATGATTAACACCTAACTGAAATAAATATAAGTCAACACACAAAAAAAGAATCTCTTGCATTGAGCATGACTGCATTGGTCCAAGAAAATAATTTGTTTGTATATAACGAAAGAGATGATATTCTTGTTCCGAAACAATGATTTATTCAACAACTCTCTTGTAGGAAAATCAAAATATGCATGGTTGGAGACGTTTGTTATGTTGAAGTGAGAATTGAAATAATTCATATTGACAAAATCATTTACTTATTTCAGGAAAACCATAATTTTGAGATATGAAATCCATCCACCAAATGAAAACAATCATTTTCTCAATTTGCAACTATGGATTACTATTATTGAGAATTGTTCTATTTCATTTCAAAATGAACGATTTATTTAAGTCAAAATTCCGTAAATTTTCAATGAACACATTGATATTTTCGATCAGAATTTATAAGTTTTTTATAATGAGTATTGAGCTCATTCTCTCCAATGAAACTATTTTCTTGTATCCAAATATTGACTGCTTGGATAAAAATATAATAATGTTTTTGATTCAAAACTGTGATTCCCAATGAGATAACTAAACTCCACAGAATATTCGTAAAGAAATATATATTTGTTCCTTTAGTTGACAATAATCCCATGTATAGGTACGTACATCTTGGATCAGTATTGTCCATCAAGACCCCGAATGGTTATATAGAATAATCACATGCCTTGATTTCGTCTTCTTGAAGTTTCGCTGCAAATGCATGATAACGGTTACAAACAATGACATAAGTATTATGATTGATTAAAAACTCACCTCTATAATATGTAATATCGTGACTCCAGTAATATCATGCCTTCTGGAAGATATCGGGTATATAGATTCGAGATACTCGGCAGGAAACTTTCTCTCACCTAATGTCAAGGTCTTCTCAAGTCTTTGCAAGTCCTTTGTAGATAGTACTTCTTCATTCATCAACCAGTCGTCATTTTGCTACAAAAAAAATTTCGAATGAATTAATAAGCATATTTTCATAGCAGGATACTAATAAATCCCTGTTATTTTGATTGAAAAATTGTTGATTCACTCACAATGACTATCGATATTTGGAATGGTACCTACTTACCAAGGGAATTCAATGTTATACCTTCACCAGCTCTCTACAAGTTCTGCATTTGTTAGATATTCATATTCTAAGATATTTCCACCTATACACACTCGATAAAACATTCAGAATTTTCAAACTTCGTAACTTAATGCCGTTTCGCCGTTGTGGGCCTGTCATAATGATGTGAGCATGGTCAATAATGATTGAAGACTGAGGCCTGAGTTATGGCAACAGGATTGCTTACCCTTGATATCCGAGGGCATATTATTTTCTTCCAAAGAAATACCTATTCATAGACTTGAATCAAGTAAATAAGGTATTGAATCAAAATGTGGCTTCTTCAATTAGAGAAATTATTAATATCATCAAGTACATCAAGTTGAAGATATTATATTCCTTTCATTTGAGAAAATTGATATTCATATCTTTGAATCAAGTAAATATGGCATAGAATAAAACTATCACGAGTCTTCGATTTGATGAAATTATAATACCAATATGATGAAATTCGAATGCTTCATTTGAAGAAATAATTATTTATATTTTTGTTTCAAGAAAATGGCGTATTGCCTCAACATATTGGGTTTTTGCAATTCAAGAAAACTGAATATGTCATTCGATGAAATGGACATTCTTTGATTTGAAGAAATGTATACTTATATTCTTGGATCAAGCAATAAATTTATTGAAACAAAGTAGTACGCTTCTGCGAATTGAAAAATCGTTTTGATTGAGTTGAAGTAATTAATTTAGTAATTCAATAATTACATTCTTGATTTGAGAATATATTTCAATAATATGACACTATCTTCTTGTGCATACCGGATTTTTCGACTCAAAATATGCTCAATTCAAAGAAGATATACAATTGAATTTTCAAGAGAATGGGTTTTCTCATTCGAAGAAATTTTTTTTCTGTGTGAAGTTGCCAACAATGTGACCCACTTGACAGATTATTATGATATACAGGGTGGTCCATTTTTCAATACGGAAAATTTAGCAGCGTATAGTAGGTACTCGTTGAAATAATAAATAAACTTTCTATGATCATATTCTTTTAAACGCTTCTTTTTCGAGATATAGGGTGCTCAAGTTTCTTTAAAAAATCGATTATTTATTGATTTCTCAGAAATGCTATAACCGATTGTGATGAAATTCACATCTATTGTGGAAATATCAATGAGATAACTTTTAGATCTATCAAATAAAAACCAAACCTATGCATGTCTCTAAACCCAATGAAAGAAACATTGTAATGGATTAAATCTAGTTAGCATTGGCCGTTTACCAAACCAATCATGTGACCATTGCAAATCAATCATTTTGATAAAAACACGGGATAACTCCAGTTTGTTATTTCTTTGACAGAACTTTCAGAGTGACAGCACATATGAACAGTGAACAGTGAGCAACTGAGCATAGCCTACTTCTTTAATTGATATCAAGTAGTATTATTCAACTAAAAAATGTTATAAAGTCATACAAGCGAGCTTTTTTCATTGAAACTTGAGAAATAAATGAAAAATAATTACCCGAGAAATTTGTGTAATTATTACCTTCGCCACTCCAGATTCAGCCGCCACTGAATAGTTTTCATGAATGATTTTTATTCAATCTAATAAAGCTCCAAAAGTTTAGTATCTGTGGAAAATTCCGTTAATTTATCTACCGTTTCTAACTTTTGATTAAAAAAAATTATTCAGAAGCGTATTTTTGACACCGAATATCTCAAAAACGAAGCGTTTGAAAGTATATGTTCATAGGAAATTTTTATTATTATTTCAACGAGTACTATATGCTGTTAAATTTTCCGTATTGAAAAACGGACCACCCTGTATAATATATGAGTATAAATAGGTGGAAACTAGGCCTTAGACTACTTTACTTTGTTACAATTTGTGTTGACATGCATCATGTCAACAGAGATAACAGAAAGGAACCGATGAAAAAGACAGATAAATATACATAACAACCTAATGGCTTAGATTGATATTCGCGGTTTTCAAGGTATGACGTGGCGATGACGTTAAAATTGGGACAAAACATTCCCAATTCCTGGAATAGATTGAAAGTAAGACATGCTTAACCCCCAGTTTTGACGTCATCGCGACGTCAGATAATTACCTTGCAAACCGCGATCATTCACGCTTAAGTTTGGTGCCCAATTTATGAACTTCGTTGCCGTAGGCGCAATTAACGCTGCAGTAGCCATTGGAAGATGCTGAATCAGTTATATTCATAAATGGAGCCTTGCTCTTATTATGTGCACCTGCACTCTTGCCCTGTGACACTGACAAAAGTGATAAAATTAGATAATATGGACGAAATTGGGGAAATAATTCCTGATAATAAATGTAGTATTGAAGAACAAAATGTTAGTGTTATTTTAGAGACAAATAGTTCAGAAGAAGTTGAAAATGTTGACATATTAGGTTCATCGAATTTTCAAGGTTCGAATTGTAGTATCAATCAGGTATAAGTATTACAATCCAGGCAAATGACGAATAGTCGCGTCTCTGTGACGTTCCCACAGACACGTCACACATTAACTCCTGACGTCACTATGAGGTACTTTCTATGATGTGGTATTCACATCATCATTACGACGTTGAGTAAACGTCACTTGAATGAGTGAAATATGACGTCAGTTTCATTACGTTGCAGAGACATCGTGTCAACGTCATGTTTGTCTTCAGTTTGGTATGTATGTGTATAATATATATACAGAGTGTCCCATTCTGAAGAATGGGATATAGAATTATTCTAGAAATTTGGTTTCTTGGGTAATCACTTCTGTTTTATCGATCTGAAATATATTCAGCGCTACGGCGCTTCCATCATAAATTAGCAATAGCTTAATCTTAATTTTATGTATCGAAACTATTAATTATTGGTGAAAACAGCTTCCATGTCCCTATCCCAACTTCTGATCTACTATCTAATGAAAGCTTGATTGAAACAAATACAGGGTGGTTTGAAATTCGAAATTCTGATCGCCTTATTGTATCTGTTCCAATTGAATATCGATTGATGGTTAATGAAAAATTGAGATAGGGACATATAAGCCGTTCAAACCAATTATGAATAATTCGAACACAGAAAATGCCTATTTAAAGTTGAAAAATCTCGATTTTTCACTCCTTTTATCCCAGTTATCATTCCCGATAGACCCCAAGTGTAATAGACCGATGAACTCAGCTCTTCAGGAAAAATCTGGAAACCCAATAATGTACAGAGTGTCATATTCAAAATAACAAAGTTGTCGCCACTTATTGATAGACGCGGCAACGCCGCAGCGCTGTTCAGATTGATTGAGCAGAACTGATTGCTCAGGGCATTGAATTTTCGAAATGATCCCATGTTCTGCTCTCCAGAAACGTGTGATAGGCCTTGAAGTCTGGGACACCATGTATACATACAAGTGATGGAGTTGGAAGGGAGGGAAGTTATTATTTGTTTATACAGTGTCATTCATAAAGTCGGCATCATATGGGAAACACTTTTATTAGTAACTTATTTTGGAATTTGAGTTGGACGTTGAGTTTTGCTTCAAAAAAGATGAAAAATGGCCTACTCAATCGGGGTCACGTGACTCTCACTACATGTCAAAAGTGACATTTTTTCAAATTAATCGCTGAAAGTAGGCTTATTTGTTCGAATATCGAGAAAGTTTACTTGAAAAAGTTGTTTCTATTTCAATTTTACACATGCTTCTTGAATTTGATCTTTCTATTGCAATTTTTAGATTTTGATTTTTTTTTTTAATTTTTCGAAATTTCTGTAATATTTGAAGAATTGTTAATTTCACGAAACTACTTCATACCAGTAGCCTTTTCATGCTACTCACTTTCAATTTACTATTATAACTGATTATGGACAGAAATATGATTTTCTTCAGAAAATGATAATACCTGCTTCCAAATTCTGTTATATGTTTGATGCAAAGTTGATATTTCGTCAAGCATTTAGAAACGAAATTCATTCAAACTGATCTTTTCAGTACTGAAATAAATTTAAATGAATTTCGTTTCCAAATGCTTGACTCAAACATAACAGAATTTTGATGTATGTTTGCATCAAACATAACAGAATTTCGAAGCGGAGATTATCATTTTCTGAAGAAAATCATATTTTTGTCGATAATTAGTGATAATTAGTAATTGAAAGTTAGTACTATGATGAAGCTACTGGTATGAAGTAGTTTTATCGAATTTACAATTTTTTTAATATTTCAGAAATTTCGAAATTTTTTAAAAAATATCGAAATCTAAAAAATGTAATCGAAAGATAAAATCCGAGTCACATATGTAAAATTCGAATAGGAACAACTTTTTCAAGTAAACTTTTTCGATAGTCGAACAAATAAGCCTACTTTCAGCGATTAATTTGAAAAAATGCCACTTTTGACATGTAGCGAAAATCACGTGACCCCGATTGAGAAGGCCATTTTTCATCTTTCTTGAAGCAAAACTTAACGTCCAACTCAAATTTCAGAATAAGTCATTAATAAAAGTTTTTCCCATATGATGCCGACTTTATGAATGACACTGTATACAGATGATAATAGGTGCACCTTTTGAGAACGTGACTTTCATGACGTTGCAGTGACGTATCTATGACGTCTTAGAACCCCGTCGGTGTGACGTATCAATTTGGTGGGTTTCGTCATTCAGAAAATTTGTAAAAAAATTGCCATTCAGATTTTTGTTGGGTGACAAAAAATGCATGAACATACGTTACCCAACGAAGTGAAGTTGAATTTGCCAACATCCTCTACATTGCTATCAAACTATTCTTGGTTTCTACATCTCAGCGACACTAATCATTACATAATTTTTTATACAATTTTATTCTGATGAAGATGCGTACTAACGGACGACATGACACCGGAAGGACCACCAAGCAGTCTCAACAATGCATAATCAATATCAGAAGTCAGTGGTTTTCATATCACACTATGTTTGAGGTAACTTTTACGTTTTTGGATGTATGATAAATTGATATTCATCATGCAGGACGTAGAAAGAGAATTCTGAATTGAGAAAACCTAATCACGAATCTGCGATTGAGGTCTATAAAAATAACAAGTTCCCATCGTTCAAGTTTGAACCCCTTGATTGGGTGAAAGTATATCCATATCATCTAGTCATAACCCAGCGAGCACAAAAACATCTCAGATATGTCAAAAGTACGAGATTTCGAGGCATTGAACCTCCACTGCGATGTTCTGTTCACACATGAATAGAACTATTATAGAACAGCCACTGTCCGCCGCAGGCGGCAATTATTATCGAGATGTCCTTAATATGTCACGAAACTACCTTCTCCCTAGTTATTTTTAAAGCCTATTCATGGAGACAACCAAACATTTTCAACGCGTCTTGCGCACATTGAATCGCTGTAAAAAAACCATTCTCGAGGTACTTTTCTGAAGCCTTTTGTCAAAATGAACTTTTGCATTAGGATTCCATTTCACTTGAATGAAAAAATGCATTAAAAATAGATTGAACATAAAAATATTTTCTTGATATGAAATAACCTTCCTAATCGGTTTCTGAGTAGTGCTTACTACACACAGACATATAATTGGAAATAGGTTTCCCAATTTTTGAAATGTTCTCCACAATGCATAACTTTGCAACTGCGGAGAAGCTGTGTATTGATGAATTCGTACTTTTATATATTGATTACACTGGGGCACCGAACATCACATCTTGCATCTGATGGTCATTATTACAAACTAAATGAGTCTTCTAACTCAATAAACTTCACCAAATTCCTTTCTGTTCGTTAGCAGCGTGATGTAAGCGTGACACGCTGCAAACGCGATTGCCAAATTGCGAACAAGAAGAACAAAATCGAAAACAAATCAGAATTCATCGTATTGTGACGTAAGCATGAGACGTTGTGGTGGGGCAAACAAAGAAAGGGCACAAAAGAACAAAAACAATACTTCCAAGACCTCTTTGGGAAGTGCATATTACTCCTCAAAAAAACATCCTCATGCCTACATTTCTAAAACATCCCAAAACATCCCAGGGATACTTCTCAGTAGGCAAACAAAGAAATGCCACAGAAGAACAAAAACAATGCTTCAATATCCTTCAAAGACCTCTTTGGTCAGTGCATAATACGTCTTAAAATAACATCTTCATGCTAACATTTTCAAAACATCCCGAAACATCCCAGGGATGTTTGTGCTCGCTGGGAATCCATGCCATTGAAATAACCCTTCTTTCAAACGTTTAATTATCAGTAGTATCGTGTGATTCTGATTTTGCAATATATTATTTTTTTAATTCAATATCATGGAATTTTCTAGAGTTGATCGTTGAGCTGAAAAAAAATTTCCGATATATTAGTTTCCTGAAAAACTATTCCCAACTGATTGATCAGCACAAAAATTCAGAAAGTCAACTACACCTGATGAATATCTATCGAAAAAGAAGTAACACATATAAAATTATCCCAAAATAGACAAATGAAAAATTGAAAACAGAGGTAACAAAATTTTATTCTACAAAAGTGCTATAAGATTTGCTAGATATCAAATTCGATCTTGAATCTGTGCGTACATATTCCTCTCCCTTCAACAAATATTGAATTTCATCCAGAGTCTTCCCTTTAGTCTCAGGGATATAAAGTAGAGTGAACAAAGCGATGCAGAAGCTAGATCCCGCAAACACATAAAATGGAACATGCATGCCATAAGTATTGGACAACCACTGATAACACTGCAAGCTCACTATAGACCCTGCAACATACATCAGATCCGAAATAGTCATCCCTATAGCCTTCATATTCGATGAGAACAATTCAGCTGTCAAAACGATCGGTACGATGCCAATACCAACTTTGAAACTGGCTGCATATAACATAACTGCCACTATCGGTATCCAGCTGACAGCTCGTACATCGTATTCCCTCAATTTAAGATGAAAGTAAACAGCCATAGAGAGCAAACAGAGCCCTGTCAAGATCGTAGAGATTATGATTAGAGCTTTTCTTCCGTATTTATCGACTCGCAGGGAAGCTAAACATGCTGCTATCAGCATTATCACAGCGAATAAAATAGCAGCGACATTGGAATTCATGTAAATTGATCCAGCTGCTTCGAGTATCACATGTAAATTCATCAATATCACGCTCAAGGCACACAAATGCTGGCCCACATCGAGTACGGTCATGATAATGATAGCTTTTCTGCTATTTCTGGCTAGAACCAGGTCTAGGAACCTTCCGGGTTCAGCTTTCTGTCGTGCCACTGCTTTGGAAATATTCCTTAGTTCGACAGTGACATCACGATGGGGTCTGAAGTACTCCAATGACTTTATAGCTGCTTCTACGCGCCCTTGATGGAATAGGTAGTACGGGGACTCAGGCATAAAGGGAAAAGTAGACAGTTCTATTGATAATACGGCTATTCCAACTAACGGTGGCACATAAAAAGGTAAGAATGGTCCAACGGTGTACACTATGACCAGTCCTATTAACATGTTCACGTATATGACACTGGATAGGAATCCTCTGATTTTGTGATCGGCTATCTCTGCTACATAGATGGGAGCTGCAACGAACGATGTATTGGCAGTTACTCCGAATGAGAATCTTGCTATGAAGATGAACAGCATTCTATCCGCCGTCGCTATCATTATCCAGGATATCAGTGATATGAAAGCTGCTAGTAGCAGGGACTTTTTTCTTCCTATTTTGTCTACGAAGTATATGGTGAATGGCAGGCCGAGGAAGGATCCAAACATCAGGCAGGATTCCAACCATTCTGCTTCGAACTTTGTGGTTTTGAGGTGGCTTTCTTCGCTGATCAAGTAGGGTATGACTGGCGCAGTCCAACCGTAACTCATGCCATCTGATATTGCGAAGAGGGTACCTGGAACAAAATTCATGTGAGATGAGATACCGTTCGAAATTGTCACAATATCACATCACGAAATATATATTTTTCGTTGGTACCCGATTTAGATTTTTCAAAGGAAGCATTGGAGTCTTTGAGATGATGCAACCCCAATCCTTATTGAATTGAATTTCAAATTTTCAATGAAACGTTCACGTTCAATTGCTAATCTGAAATTTTCAACCACTTCCTATTTGTCAACATCGTAATTAGGACCTGGATTTGAGAAATAAAGGATGAAATTTATGGTCTGATAAATGTGTATGTTTCGAAAATTTGCAATGTGATGTTTAATTGTAATAAAATTGTTAAGGTTGTGAACGAGCACAATATCTAAAAAAAGAGTGATGAAATATATTCAATTCAGAATCATGTAAAACTTCAGTGGTGTTGATATAGAGTCATTTAAACTTGTTATTGGTGTCAGTCAATCCAACATTATGTCTGTTTGATCTAACGTATTGTCTTATCATGATACTATTCTTAGTTCGCCCAGTTTTTTTATTTCGTTTTGTTACCCCTTTGACATATGATTCATTAGGTTTGTTCATTGGTGTCATTAACGATGCTTAGAGCAAGCTGTTCAAATCAGATCAATGACGTCAGAAAGCAGATTGTTGTATACAGGATTTTTCACGATGAGCTTTAATAAGACGTTTCTGGTACTCCAAGCAACAGACGAATCTGGAGATTGTAAGGTAGGTAGAAATGGACATGATCTACATGTCTGAATGTTTAAAACGATGCGGCGTTGGCGATTCTACTAGGAAGTATCAGCAACTTTGATATTTCGGAAGGAACACACTGGTGTATCTCATTGCATTCTCAAATACCCTCTAAAAAGCTGTTTCAATCAACGCATCACACTTGAGATCTAGTGGGAATGATTACAGAGATATAGGATGTTCAAAATCGAGATTTTTCAACTTCACGATTTTTTTAAGATGTCGAAACTATTTATTATTGGTCAAAACGGCTCACATGTCTCCATATTCACCCTCGATCAACTGTTAACTGACATTTAATTGAAACAAATACAGATTGGTTTGAGATTCAGAATACTGATCGCCCTATATCTGTTTCAACTGAATATTATTATATAGTAAATCGGAAATTGAATAGGGACATGTAACATGAGAGCCATTTAGGCCGGTGATAGTTTCGACACACAAAAAATCCTAAAGTTGAAAAACCCCGATTCTGAACACCCTGTAATTCTGTAATCCTCTCTGCTAGACTCCAAGTGTGATATATCGATGAAATCAGCTCTGCAAGGAGGATATAAAAATGTACTAAAAAATAGGTCATTCTATTCTACTTTCTATAAAGAAGCAACAGCGCCGCATCATCTAGAATATTTTAGACGTGTAAATCCTGTAAATTTTTACATACCATCAGAATTCCAGATTCATCTGTTTATGCTTGAGTCTCAGTAGTGTATATTCTTGTTTCATACTTGCTTGAATATTTCTTATTATATATGTTATATGCTAAAATCAGTTCCCATTGTTCTCAGTAGTATCAACTTACCAGCGATAACAATTCCTCAGAACATGAGCTTGACCTTGAAGTCAGCATCCGCAGAAATGGAATATAATATCTGCTGACGCTGGCATCAGCATTATTTTTAATATAAATTCATTTTATATTGTATCAAAAAGTCAGTCTTGATATAAAGCTCATTGTATAAACTTAATCTATGCCGGAATAAATAAAATTGTTTTTAAAAAGTCTATTTCGAAAACCACGAGATAACAAATTGGCGCAGTCGTACGGATTTCGTGACGTTGCTAGAACACGGAAACGACCTAACTAGTGACGGTGGATCCCAATCCTTTGCCGAAATCAAAGAACCAACCTGAGGGAGTCATCACTCGAAGAGCTGTGGAAGGAACACCTGGTGAAGCCCCTGGCAGAATCGACGAGAACACGACGAACTCAATGATACTGATCCTGTAAGTACTATATTGAATCGTACCGCATTTCAAATTTGAAACAACCAAGTAACTGTTCCATTATCCAATTGTTTCCCCTTTTTTGTCACATTTCAACAAAAACCAATTGCAATGAATGACGATAACGTAAACGTGGCACCACCACGAGCACCTGCAGAAATTGAACCATACAGACTCAATGAAATATTTTCCATCATACCGGAATATGATGGCAATCCAATATTTTTAACCACCTTTTTACAAGCCTGTAATACCGCTTACAGAATGGCAGTCGACGAACAACGACTACTAGTAACACTTCACATAAAAAATAAATTACGTGGACGTGCTGCAGAGCTAGTGAATTCGAGAAACCCACTTACTTGGGAAGAAGTTAGACATCTTTTAGATACTCACTTTGGCGATTCCAGAGACTTGACTTCATTAATTCAAGATCTCCAAAGACTTCGTCAACTTCCTGGCGAAAATGCAATGACATTCGTTCAACGATTGCAAACGCATAATGCCAAAATGCACGCCGCTGTAAATAAACAAATTTTACCACCAGACCAAAGAGGCGCGCAGTCCAGACTTATAGAAACTATGAGTTTGAACACCCTGTTGACTGGATTAGATCCAAAACTTGGTCAAATAATTCGAGCAGGCACCCCAACTGATATGTTAACCGCAATTACTCGTATCAGGCGAGAAATGCAGTTGAGTTATTTCGAAAATCAAAAATTGCCTAACTCACAAAGCTATCGAAATCCGAATGCAGTTTCTGTTCGAAAACCGATTTCATCTCAACAAATAAAACAATGTTCATATTGTGGACGTACCGGACATTTGATTCATGAATGCCGCGCAAAACAGAATTCCCAAAATAGACCACAATACCCTCCAAGACCAAACCAACAAAATTTCAATCAAGCTGGGCCTTCAAGACCATTCCAAACCCCAAATCCAGTACAGCGACCTCCTCAATTCAATCAATATCAACCACCCTATCAATTTCAACAAAACCGACCATCAATCATAAGACCTAACCCGAACTTCAACAATCAAAGACAACCTACCATTCAATCGAATCCAAATTTTAACAGACCAAATAATCAACAGACACATCATTTGAATTATCAACAATATGACCAATATTATGAGAATGATTTTTATCAAGATGATCACTATACAGCTAGTGAAAATCAAAATTACGATCAAGTCTATCATACTGCTGATAGCAGAATTCAACAATTTGATTATCATACCGCTGAAAGACAATTTGAATATGATCAATTTTCGACACAGTACCCGGACTATGAGAATCTACCCCAAAATTCGGATATTCAGGATTTTCAGTCAGGGCTGAATCCTGGCGACCCACCGAACAAAACACAACAGAATACTATGGACGAACTTCAAGCCCAAATCCAAACAATGAACCTAGACAGTTTCGATCCGAATGTGAATTTCCCGGAACAACGGTTCATTTAAAACCTCTATTGCCTGTTAATTCGAAAAACTTATACTACATCAAAGACATCACTAATACCTTCAAAATTCTAATAGATACTGGTGCAGGACTTTCGATTTTTAAACCAAAGACTTGCGAAAAATACCGAAAACGTTCTCCAGAAAATATTTCCATTCAAGGCATAACCGACCAGAAAATAATTATAAACGAATCAACTCTAATTCCATTCAAACCTGAAGACCCACATAAAATTTACATTCACAACTTAGATATAGAATTTGACGGACTCCTTGGCTCTGATTTTCTAGAACATTATAATTGCATAGTAGACCTCAAAAATAAAAAACTGATTACTGATTTCAAAACTGTCCCTCTTTTTAAAGTAACCGACGACGAAAATACTCAACCTTCAGTTGATACACCACCCTCTAGAGAATATCATAATAAAATAAATATCGAACCTCGAACCGAACAAGTGTTCAAGTTGAAATGCAACTTTTTAAATACCGACGCTATACTGATAGGTCAGGAAATCGAAAAAGTCAAAATACCAAATTCGATTGTCAAAATTGACGAAAATGGAGAATTTCTAACTTCGGTTTTGAACGTTAATGCTATTCCAAAAACAGTGGATTTTTCCGATCTTGTGTTAGAACCATTTCAGGATTTCTCAGTAAATAACTTGGCTATGCAAATATCAGATACAGATGTACCAATTGACCGACAATTCGAAATTAAAAATCAACTACGTCTCGATCATCTCAACGAAGAAGAACAAAATCTCATAACAGAACTTTGTTTAGATTTCTCGGACATTTTCTATCTTGAAGGTGACAACCTGACGTTCACAAACGAAATTAAACACCCTATCGATACAAAAGACAGTCGACCTACATTTACCAAATCTTATCGGTACCCTCAAGTACATAAAGAAGAGGTAAAGACACAAATATCGAAAATGCTCAATCAAGGTATCATTCAGCCTTCAGTTTCACCATGGTCATCCCCCGTTCGGGTCGTACCAAAGAAGCTTGATGCTTCTGGTAAACAGAAGTGGCGAGTAGTCATCGACTACCGAAAACTGAATGAAGTGACTATCGACGACAAGTATCCACTTCCGAACATCTCCGATCTTCTCGACCAATTAGGCAAGTGCCAATATTTCACCACCCTCGATTTGGCTTCCGGATTCCACCAAATTGAGATTGATCCCAAAGATATCCAGAAAACCGCATTTTCTGTGGAAAATGGGCATTATGAATTCGTTCGTATGCCATTTGGATTGAAGAACGCCCCTTCCACCTTTCAACGCGTAATGGACAACATCTCAATGGGAATTCAGAATGAACGTTGCCTTGTCTATATGGACGATATTATCGTCTATTCCCCTACTATTCATGAACATATCGCCCGAATCACAGAAGTTTTCAAACGTTTACGGAAAGCAAACCTAAAAATACAACCCGACAAATGTGAGTTCCTTCGCAAGGAAGTTGCATATTTAGGACATCTCATCACCCAAGATGGCGTGAAGCCAAACCCCTCTAAAGTCGAGTGTATAAGAAATTTTC